AATACATTTTCCCTGTATAATGCACTGAAATAGTCAGCCTTGCGTATTCTACTGAACCAAACGGTTTCATCTTTTAACATAATTTCAGCTGCTTTCGTGGAACTGTACACAATGAGCTGGCAGAACAGAGCAGCAGCCAGTAACAGCAACATTAAATACTGTTAGATTTTCCTAGAAATAGAAGGAGTCGACTGAATTTAGAAAAAAAAAATCTGATTTACTAGTGCCCTAAATCTGATTTACTGGTGCTCTAATGTAATTTAGCTGGTATGTGCTTTGCATCATGTGCAGCATAATGATGGTGAATCTTCAGTAAAATATGAAATCATTTAGTTAGAGTGTTTAAAATGTGCTTTTATTATGAAGTATGAATTTTAAAGGGTTATTTTAAGTATCAATAACAGCACACTCTTTTCTGACCAGTTTTAATGATCGTTTATTATCATTTATTTTAAATCTCTTTTTTTATCGTATTTTACTTGATTTATAAACACTTTCTTTTTATTTGCTGCTCCTTTCTTCTCTAAATCCTGTCTTATTTTGCCCGAGAATTGTGATTGCTTTTCGAAGAACTACAGCGTTATCTGTAATTGAAGTTTCAGATCCCAGATGATCATCCTGTTTATGTTTACTGTGCCAGCATCACACTTGCTCATTCAGTCTGTGTGTTTTCTTTTTCTCTGTTTTTATTTATTCACTTTTACAAAAAACCCTCCAAGAACCAGAAATTTATTTTATTCCACTGTGGAGAACACAAGTGTGAGATCTCTACATCAAGCACCATTTACGCAATCTATATGACGTCTACTGTATTGTCAGTGGATATCCTGAGTTTTCTGATTTGTGGAATTTGGACTAACAGAGCACTTTCTTTTCAAAATGACAGAAATTGCAACTTTCATATTTTATGGCCAGAAGGGATGTTTAGTAATGAATTTTCATTCAGATATTATGATGCTAAAAATCAAATTGTCTGCAATTTGATAGTTTTAACTTAGTATTTCAGAAATGTATAGGAATTTTTACTCCTTCCAAAACAAAAAACTCACATTTTCAATTTATGTCCATACTTCAGGTAAAAGAGGACTGTGGAGGAAGTCATTATAGCAGGAAGGACATGGTTAATTTAGAGGTGGTATGTTATAGAAGAATTGTGTAATGTAAGGTTCTGATGCTTTTAAGCATTAGGATTTCTAAAAGGGAAAAAACAATATTTTTTTAATTCACAGTCATGCACATCATCTATCCTACTGAATATCCTGTCAATTTATATAATAAATAAACTATACGATAAAAGGGCATTAAACTATACCCCTACTGAAACTGGGTTGTTTTTCATGATGAAACCTGAAAACAGGATACTGCAGCTGATCTGATTACATCAAAAAGAAAATAGGTAACCAGGTTTTAGAAAAAAAAAAGTCAGATTGCACAAACCAGAGAATGGTGCTCATCTCTAAAGGTAGCATTAAAACCTAAAACACTGAAAACATTGTTCAGCATGACTCAGTTATAGCAAATCTGTCTCCACGACTGAGTTTATACAGATTCTCCAGTATTAGGCAGCCCATCAAAGTCATAAATTACCAATTATCAATCAATTAAAATCAATTATCTTGATGTCTCTGATGAGGGGGAAAGAATAAAGTTCTCTGGAAGGTGAGACCTCTCTTAAACAGAGAGGCTGCCTGAATCTGCCCAAACGAATTCCTGTGACATGTTTCTAGCAACCACAATGCTAAAATTATTTAAAAAAAATCTAAATATCAAAACAATTCTTTCTTAGATGAAAACAATGTTGAAGACAAACATACATATCAGCTTTGGTGCTTTTTGGTGCATTTTTTTTTTTAGCTTTATCTACTGACTGTGACATAGCGCAGTTGCAGATTTCCATCTTAGCCAGCTTCACTGTCAAGCAGGTCTCTTCAGCTACTAGTGCTAGCAGAGCTTTAAGTTCTTTCTGGGTTTATCACTTATCTTAAAATGGGTTTAAAATTTTTTGACAAAAAGATGAGCTAAGTCCTGTTTGCACTTGTCAACACTCATGATAAACAGATCCTTATTCTGAGTCAGCTTGGCAGATTTAATTCCTGTGAAGTGGGCAGCATGCTGGAATTTGCATCTGATTACAGCATTGATATAGTTTCTTCTCTCAAACCTGCCTCCCAACAGAACCCTGCAAAGAAACCTGTTACAGAGTTTCAGTAGGATTTAAAAATAGGCCACAAAATGGTCTGCACTGATATGTATTTATATTCAAATACCTAAGGAATATATTTAGTTTAGTCCAGATCCCGAATGCACCATCAGTATGAGAAGAGGGAAATGAGTGGTTTATTGAGTGATGCATGAACTCCATCTTTTGATACTTTGATATGTTTGTAGTATAAGCAAAAAGGGAGAATGACCTTAAACTTGTCACTTGTATTTTCTGTCTCTGTTTGATTAGGTTCAAATTATAAATGAGGCGTTAAATTACAGTGTTAGGTTTAGGTGCCGGTACCACTTCATTATGCTTGGGGGAAGCTTATAGTTTGACTATAAGTTGCTTCTAGTTTGAGGAAACAAAGTTGGAAACAAATTCCTTACATATGCTGTCCCAAAGGAATAGTGTGAAAAGCAGATGTGATGTTTTTCCTCTTTTTTTTCTTTCTTTACTAGCTTTAGCTTGATGGTATTTTTAGCTGTACGCAGCAGCGGCAGTTCCCCTTTCTTTTTAAATTGGGCAAAATTGCTCAGAACTATAAACAGTGTGGGAAATTAGTCTTACAAAACAACAGAAAACAAACAAACCTCTGAACGTGATCATCAGCCTCAAGTGTAGCTTACAACACAGGCTCACGACTCTTTGGATTATTGAAGTAAAAGTCATAATCCTACTTAGGTAATGGTGAAGAATTTTTAGTGGAGAAATGGATTAAGCTGCAAATTAAAACCTGAGTTCAGTAGATTACATGGATATTTGTTTGAAGTAAGATGCACCATTGGTCATGTCCATGCTGTCATCCAGTGCAAGTAGGCATTGGGTGGGACTCTTACACTAGAAGTAGGAGGACATATTTTAAGAGGGCCTTGTGCTATCTCATGCCCCATCATTGACAGACATTTGGTACTCAGTTACAGTAGCTGGACTTCTTTAAAGGTTGTGCCTCTTTTACCTATCTTTTAACTCTTTTTAGCAGTGTAGCATGAGAAAAAGGAGGATGTAAATGAAGTGAAACAAAACATTTAAAACGACTTCACTTGTAGGTTTTCAGGCACTGCACAAAAGAGAGGCCTCTTTGTCTTGCTGTTACTAATGGTACTGATCTGAAAGAGGCTAATTAGAGCTTTCCTGTAATGGCAATATTATAGTTCTGAGGAATGCCTGCAAAGCATTCCTTCATATTTGTACAGAGACCAAGTTGAGTCCCAAATCTGTGTCTTATTTGCTATGACGAGAACAAAGGCACTGAAGTGCACCTGTATTTATTACATTTGGTCAAATGTGCCTTTCAAGCTCTAGTAAACCTCCCTGATATATAAAGTATGCTTCATGTCACTCTGCAATGGGGCTATCTTTTAAGCATAAAGAAAAATCTCTGTTTGATCATTGCCTCATTGTCGATTTGAACTACTCAATCTCTGGATTCATTAAAAGTTGGAATCTGTACCTTGTAGTAAACTAGACATTTACACAGACCCTTTTACACAGTCTTTATAAAATAAATAAATAAATACAATTGTGCAATCCCCCTGAACACACTACAAGTTATGCAACCACTCTGGAACAAAATCAAATAGCAGTGCATTACTGAAATTTCTTTAGAAGCACTCAGCAACATCTGAGACAATCTGTATGTACTCTATTTTTTCATAAACCTCAAATCGCGACCTTTTGGGACTTCATGTAGCAGATGAAGATAATAATCCACTAATGAGTTGCATCTTGCAGGCATGTGGAGGTGGTGCTTTGCTTTGAACAGAAGTGGCTTTGTAGCAGGGTCCAACACTCAGGCAAACCCTTGAAAATGCAATATGCATTCTGGCAAGTTCATTTTGTTCTTACCAGCAGGATAAACACTCAGTTTACTCTTTTTCTTTCAGACTCTGTAGATGCAGTCCCCAAGTGCCATATATACCTTGACCTTCTTTGTTATGGCCACAAAGTCCCTCCAGCCCCTTGTGCACTTCCTATTCCTCCTCCACTATCACCAACACTATAGCTGACTCCTTCATTCCAGCCTATGCCAAAGCCCAACTCTGTCCTGAGGCCAAATCCACTCCTCTCCACTGTCCAAATCCCTCTGCCATGTGAGTGAAATAACAGCAAGGCCCTGAAAATAACACTGACGCTGTCCTCTTTTCCCTGTATGTCACCACAATGTCTTCCCCCTCTCTCATTCTCACTTGTATCTTCTCCATGTTTGTCATCTAAAGATCACTATGTCCCATTCACTCTAAATCATACAAGCCAAGGTTGTGATAAGTTTTATCTTATTTGGCATACATTTACTTGTTTTTTTCACTGAGATCCAATCAAGCTTTTGACAGAAGGACATCCTGAGTATTTCTCTCTGACAATCGTGGTACTTTCCCTGACTGCTATCAGTCATATGGTCATAGCATTACATACAACACCGCCTGTAAATCCAGTAATGTCGGTGGCATCGGCTTAGCAGCAGGATCCCTCTGTACATTCCTCCTGCATACGGCACGTATCACTCTCCTCTTGTTTATCTCTCCTTGCACTCCCTGCCACCCTCATCTCCCATCATAAATCTCTCACATATAGAGGCCAAAAGAGGCTCAGCTGATGTGATGAGATTACTATTTTTTTCTGATTACAAATCAACTTCAGCTTAAATAGGTAGAAAAAAGCGTTGCCCACCCTCCACCCCTTGTCACGTCTTCTTTTCCCTCCTCCCCATTTACTGTGACTCCTCCCTCTCCCTGAATATCTCCACCTTCTTTTGGTCACTGGCCCCTCCCCTCCACTCTCTATCCACCCACTTCGCTCCCTCACAGCCAGATCTAAGGACATGCCTCATTCACTCCTGCTGCACAGGTTTAAAGGGACTGCAAACAGGGAAAGAGTGAAACCCAGAGAGGTGTAGGGGGATTTTAGCAGCTGCAGGAGAGCAAAAGAGGTGAAAAAAAGTCTTTTCACTTTTTCTAAGAGAGGTAGAAATAGAGAGAGATTGTGAAGGAGTGAAGCAAGAGAAAGAAGAAAAGTCTTCAGGACTGGGACTACCCAGGAGTGGGAGGTTCCTCTTGGAGGTTATAGAGATTTCCAGCTGCTTCCTCTCCTCTCTGCTGGGAGTCAGACCTCCAGGATCCAGAGCCATGGAGCCCTCTGTGTCACCCGAGGTCGAGGGGGAGCCCAAGGAGAGGAAGAAGATCCAGTTTGCTGTGCCAGCCAATGCACCCACCAACCTGGATCCACGGCAAGTGGAGATGGTGAGCAGGCGCTGGTCAGGTTACTGTATGGCCCATAAGGACAAGTTCTGTTTGTGTTTCTGAATATTCACTATTGGAGTTTAACAGATGAATTTCTCTTTGGTAGTTTCCCATCCAAATACCATTCCCTCATACAAATACAGAGGCCACATTGTTTGTTGGATTCTGTACATGCAATGGCAAAATTTCTCTCTTCACAGCATCTTCTCTCTGCAAGTTTTCTCTCTGCTTTGTGTCACTTTGACAGCTTTGCAATAGAAAGATAAATTTGATTGCTGTGTTAGACACTGTTGAGAAATTTTGATGACATTTCCCTCTCTTCGTTTTGGTTTCCTCTTGAGATTAGTGCCTTGTTGCTGCCTCATGTCATCCTGACCTGTTTAAAACTGTGACATTGATACAAAAGTCATTATCTTCTGTTTCACGCCAGCTTTGCTCCTTCTGTGACATTTTGTTTGTAAAAAACATATTTTAGTCCTTGGCTGTTTGGCACCTTCTCTGACCTTTGAGATAAGCTTTTGCTAGTAATATCCTTTAGTCCTCTTTTACCACAGCGCTATCTTATCACCGACTCAGCAATGCCTGCATTTTTCTGTGGAAGTTTTTATGCTCATTTTTCATGGGACAACTGAGATCTCTCCTTTTGGCGCTAATGTCGATGGCTCTTATTTTAGATCTGGGATAAGTGGGCCAAAGTAGAAACTGTTTAGTATCTTAGAATGATCGAGGACAGCGACTCATTTCTCATGAGGGCTTGATGAGAGAAAGGTTGGGAGGACAAGTGTGAGATGTTCTATATGAAGGAAGGGAAAGAGACAAAGATACAAAGCCTGATCTTTACCTGTCTGGGGTCAGCTCCCATAGTGTCTGCCCCTGTTTCACTGCTTGCAAAATAGAGGCTTTTAATAAAGAACAGTGATCTCTGATAACACTTTGTCATTACCCTGGCTGATTGCACTTAACTTTCACGAGTTTATTTGGAGATTGTGCTGAATTTCCTCCATGTTTTTTGTCTTATCTCATGTTCTCATGTATCTCTGCTACAGGATACATTTTTAAAATGGAAAATTTTCACAGCACTTCATAAGACTTTTACTTAAAAATAAATATAAACACGTGCTGTCCTCCTTCCCCTCTAATTCTCTTTCTCCCTTATGCCCTGCCACCATGCTATGATCCTTATCACCTCTTCCAAGAAACCACAGGATACCAATCTGGCATATGTGGGCTACGCCCTCATTTAAAAAAAAAAAAAATCCTTATTTTATTGCTCAATATTCAAAGTACAATCACGTATTTTTAGGGCTATTTGCTGGCTTTATTCTCCCAGCCAGACCCTGGGCTTCACCTTCAAATAGGGAATGTGGGTTGAAACTTCTACGTCATATTAATACTACCACATCTTTTCAGTCAAGCTTCCATGTCAGGCTTCTAATTTATTTCCCCCTTCTAATTTGGTCTTTGTCTGTACTAGTTGGAGATTTGTTCTCACTAGTTCAGGATTTTGGTGTACTAGTTAAACAAAAACTCTTTAGTTACCTTTTCAGCAAGCACAAGCTGTATATAGAGGATGGACGTAGCTTCTGGGTATGAAAAGCCAGTAGTTAAGTGGCTTAAAGTTTATGGTCTAAATCTCTAGCTTGAAGTCTTATTTAATACAGCATGATGATCATTTTGTAAATTATGGCTGTATTTGGCGATAAATAGATAATAAACAGCATATGTTTTACGTCATGGCTACTTCATGAAAAGGTTGCTACCATTAGAGCCTGCAGTGTGTCAGTTTCTCAGTCAAGTATACTGTTCACTCAACAAAGCTGTTATTCAAAAGCTAAGAGGAAAGTTTGCTAAATACTCAGTTTGCAGTTTCAAAACAGACCTCAAAAACCAATGAGCAATGCCATAGTGGTTATGTCCTTCTTTCATAAACAGCTTACGTTAGCTCCAAGAGTCCATCTGTTACTAGTGATGCCCAGGTGGGCTGAATTTGTAACTCTTAAACTAAGTAATAGTTAACTAGTGATCTGCAAATTTTCTAACATGTTAATCTAATTATTATTATTAGAACTACTTAAGTACCAAGATTTTCAGCATTATGCCATTTGTGCATCAGCAACATAAAACCTTTTTGATGCTTTAGTGCCACTGATATGGATTCTGTTTCAAACAAGTTGGTTAGAAGTGCTGCTAGCTGACTTGTACATTTTTTGTAAATGACAAATTAGTGCAATGAAATCTTGAACCAGTTCTGGCAAGGCCAAAGAGCGGACTAGTGGGTAGAAAGTGTTGTGTGATGTGGAATAAATTCTCAAATGGCTTTCCCCATACAACCGTTTCAGAGGCATAGAATTAGAAAGCCTGGGGTCGGTGGTTTTATTTACTGTGCATGCAAATGGATGGATGCTGATAGTTAGAACAAGGAAGCAAATGAGCTGGTGGGGAGTATGAGAAACAGAGAGGGCATTCAGGAGAGAATGCGTGTTTATGTGTGTTTAAAAGCAGATAGCATCTACCAGTGGTGGATGGGATTCTCCAGGGACATGTGGGTGGGCAGGGGTAACAGTTAACGACACTCGTTTAATTCCCTTCCCCTCCCATAACAATTACTGTCGCCCACTAGTCCGACTTTGCTAATGAGTTGCAATACTATTCTTTGGAACTTGTTACACAACCGGTAACATCTTACTGTTTGTTGCAATGGCATTTAAACCCCAAAACCACTATTGACTGAACTGCCTTGTTACTATGGTGACAAGCTGTCCAACTATGTCATTGAAAGCACCCCCACAGTTGGCATCTAAAAGGTCAACTTTAATGGATAGTTCTGTATATGTGATAGGTTGTTTACATAGGTAGAATTTCATTTTTTGGAGGTAAATGTGTGTGAATGCTCTTTGGTGACGGTTCCAAGCCTCCCACGCATGGAAATGTTGCACATTTTGGGAGAATATAGCAGGTTTTGGAAATCCTTTAAAGGTGTAAGATGATTTTTTTTTGAACATTTCTCACCTGCTTGTTTACTCCAGAGGAATGTTTTTGCATCTGCAAGAGCCATTATAAATAGAAGTCAAATAACACTAACATAAAACCGTCCCTAGTTGACCCAGTTTGCATGCAGATTGTCTTGGTTTTATTTTGTCACATTTTCAGACACTAATTAGTTGTTTCTTCTTCAGTATGTTGAAGGTTCATGAAATTTTGTTTGTGGCACTGCACTGAAAAATTATTTTATTGATATAAACGTTTAACCTGTATTTTTCAGATCACTCAGATAAATTAAGTCATTTCTATGTGTCATCCAGACTTTCTAATTCCACCCCTTCCATCTTTAACCTCCTGACATTGATACTCAGTGCTGGTGCTACCATCACCAGTTCTGCTTTGGTATCTTTTTGGAACTACCCTATTGCATCCATTGGAGTGTGACTGTGGGAATGCTAGGATAAAACCTTTTAAGCATAGGAAAAGGTGCTTTTATTAATGCGTGTGTGTGAAAGGGTGAGAAAGAGTGCTATATAAGAACCAGTCCATTTTACTGTTGGACTGATTTGAGAATCAAACATTATGTTCTGCAGAAGTTGGGAAGAAAATCCTGGGGGGCAGAATCTTTGAATCTACATGTGTTGGATTTTAATGTGATTGAATACCATAAAAATATATTTGTGTATTGAGGACACATTAAAAGCATAAGCACAGTCTTAGGTTTGAATCTAGACTGTGTGGTGTTTGCATGTTCTCCTCTTGTTTGTGTGTGTTATCTCTAGGTACTCCACCTTCCTCCCACATTTCAATCTAAATACATCTGCAGGCTGCTTCTGCAAATGATTACTTAATTTCTCATGGTAGCTCCTCACTTTAGCCCCAGCAGTTTTGTGGTGTTGCGCTGGTACCAGCTTTTGGGGCCAGTCTTTTTTTTAATGTTAATCAACGGATCTCAATCTGTTCTAGATTACGTACCAGCACCACATCGGAGAACAGGCACGATCTCCTTTATATGCTCTAAAAATACACAACTTTTAAAAGTCATTATTTTAGAATATTCTTCACATTAAGCGGTCAGGATTGACCCTGAAACATAACAGAGAGAGCACATGGCTGTGTTTACCATCACTAATGCCACTCCACAAAGGCACCAATCCTCCGTGCTTTGTAAATGATGTAAGGTAATGTGCATAATGGACAGAGATTAACGTCATGGCACAGCATCACTGATTCCCTTCAAGTCTGCCTCTCTGCCGCCTCAACAAGCAGATACATATCTCTGTGCTCTCCTCTTTCTTCACTCAGCCTGGTCCTGTTAGCTCATGCTGACCAGTTGAAGTGACAACATGAAAGGGAATAACAAAGGCCTGGAAAGGGCATTTGGCAAAAGGCTTCTAACAGTAATCCAGTCCATATTAATCTATATTAAACGTCAAGGGTGTTATTGAGGGCATGATTTTCACTCACAGTTCCCTGATGACGATCTTCATACAATTCCTCATCCTCCCTAGCAAAGCCAACACCTATCGGCCCTCCAGTCCTCCCCTCATTCTTCCCAGTCCACTCTCTGGGTTAAACATCAAACAGTGACCTTTGGTGCAGTGAGTGTTTGCTGTCTAGGGGACTGTCAACATGCGCTCCCAGAAAGAACATCTTGCTGGATGCCACAAAGCATGCTGGGACTGGACAAGAGGGTGCAGTGATCTTTCCCTGCATGTGGAAAGCCAGGAATGCCACTGTGTTGGTTTTACTCACTCTTCCCAGTGACGCAGGCTGGTTCCTCTCCAGGCTGCCTGCCCGAAGCAATTTAATGATATTTGTGGTGGCAAAAAACTAATTGGTTAAGAAATTATTTTGAAAAGAAAAAAGAAAGATGAATTGCTTTGCTGAAACCACACATAATTGCAGTGTGGACACAATCAATGGGCTTCTGTCTACTGGGGGTTACGTATGTATGTGTTCCTCCCTGTTTTTGACAGTTGGGGCATTTTGAGTAGTTAATGACTCTGGAGGCCAAC